TGCCTAGAGGAAATAAGTCCTTAGATTTCATATTATGTAGAAATGTCAGTGTTCTAGCCAGTTTCATTCATTGATTCATTCAATCAGTCATTTATGCCAGGCACTAGAAATGGAGCAATGACTGAAATATAAGTACAAAAACACCAGCCTCCATGGAGATCAATTCTATAGGAGAAATTGGCAGTTAGAAAAAAATTAAGGGCCAGCCCCGGTGGCCTAGTGGTTAAGTTCGGCATGCTCTGCTTCAGTGGCCCGGGTTTAGTTCCCAGGGAGGAACGTACACCACCCGTCTATCAGTAGCCATGCTGTGATGGTGGCTCACATACAAAATAGAGGAAGATTGGCAACAGATATTAGCTCAGGGCAAATCTTCCTCAGCCCAAAAAAAAAGTTAAAAAAATAATATAGATGGGGACAAGTGCTATGGGGAAAAATATATAAATCAAGAGAGTGTAACAGGGCATGGTGAGGTGGGTTTGGAGACTTGAAGCAATTTTAAATAAAGTGATCAGGGAAAAACTCACCAAGAAGATGATTCAGCAAAAACAGGAAGGGGATGAGAGAGTGAGCGATGCCAGTATCTGTCATAAGAGCATATCAAGCGGAGGGAACACCTGATGCAAAGGCAGTAATGTAGAAATGTTTCTGCACAGCCACCAAGTCAGTGCTGCATGGAGAGGAATGAATGAGACGAGGAATAATGGGAGACATGGCGAGAGAGGTAGTGATGGGCCTGATCATATAGGGCCCTGAGAACCATTCTAAGGACTTGAGTCTTAATGTGAGCTCTGTGGGAAACCATTGGAGGATTCTGAGCAAAGGAGTGACATGAATTGACATATTTTAGTATCATCAATCTGGCTAACGTGTTAAGAATAGGAATAGAGTGTATTATGTAGTCAGATTGGGCAAATGGCTTAAAAAAATCATCTGCAAGTCACAGTGGCTTAACATGATAAGAATTGTTTTGTTTTTTTCTTATACATATAACTAACTGAATATGAGCGTTTGGCAGAGAATAGATCTGCTCCAAGTAGTCATTGAGCGACTCAGGCTTGTGTATCTTGTGGCTCCCTCACAGCCCCTCAGAGTGTCTGCTGCCTCCTTCTACCTCTCTGGCACTCAATGGAAGAAAGGAGAGCCCTTGAGAAGCAGTGCGTATTATTTCCACCAATAATTCACCTGCCAGAACTCCATCACATTGCTGTACCGTAGCACAGTAGGCTAGGAAATGCTGTCTAAATCTGTGTTCAGGAGGAAAAAGAAGTGGGTTTTGGAGAACAGATTATAGTCTCTGCTATAGGGAACAAGGCAGAAACAGGGAAACTACTTAGGAGGTTGTTGCTTTCGTCCAAGAGAGATGATGGCAGCCTGGAACGCAGTGATGGCAGTGGATATAGGGAGGATGATGCACTGAAGAATTTCCCCAACTCCTTTTTCTTTTTTTGGCAGAGCAGAGGCAATATTAATAAATTCTATGTGAAAAATTTTTCAGAGATCAAATATGATTGGGAAATGCTAGATTTCTCTACAGAAGATTTCTTGCAACTTTCATTAAGCTTAAGGGCTTTTGTTTTTTTGTTTTTTTGTTGCTTAAGGATAAATGTAATAGACAATTGTTTGAAAGAATTCTTCAAGAATTTTTTTAATAGACCATATCACATAGCTAGTATTCCATAGAATATTCTTTGGGAAGAGAAATAAATTATTGGTTAGAATACAAGGGTTTGGCCTTTGACACGTACTTCCTGCATGACTTTAGGTGACTCTTTACCCTCTTTGAAATTTACTGTCTTTGATTCTGAAATGGACATTCTACTGCTTAGACTGGTCTCCTTACAGGGTTATGCAAACAAATAAAATATTATACATGCAAGCACTGTTAAGCATAAATGAGTGTTATTATAAGGCTTGCTATAGCTAAGAAAGAGCAGAGCACATGGAGATGCAGAACTAAGATAAACAAGTCTTTACTGTGAGGATTTACATTAATCTGGCTAGATGTTGGGCTGTGTTTAATGTTTGATGCAGCAATAGGTACTAGAGTCTTCAAATTCCTCTTGTGTCTTTTTTTTTTTTCTTGTCTTGAATTTGGACTTTTCTAAGTACTTCTCCTCAGAGTGAGTATGTGGCTTGTAGCTCGTTCAGCTCTAATCCACTATTATAATACTGGACCTCTTGTTGGTGTGATGATAATGCATGGAGAAGGGAGACGATTCTATAATCTTTGGATTAAATCTGTTTTCATGTGGGTTTGTGTTTTGGGGATGTAACCTTCACAAGAATATTTTTTCCCCCAACCCCCTACTCCCTTCCCTGGCTACAGTATTCCAATCTATATCCTTGAAGACCTGACTCCTCATGACTATGCCCCCCATCCTTTGGTGAGACAAGAAGGATGGAAGAGGTTGGAATGGGAGGAATTTCCTTCCTCCTGTTGGGTTAAGGGTCTGGGAAAGTATTTTTCCCCAGAGAATAAGCCTGGGTGTATTTCACGATGAGTATTTCTTTACTCTCCCTCCCAGAGTCATAAAGGCATCTTTCTTGGATCTTCACTGTGAGAATATAGTGGGGATCTTGGAAGTAAAGCCAAAGAAATTGTAAAGGCATCTGCAGGACTATGGCTCCCAGAAGTTTCTCACTCTCAAGGTAGTCCATACTTATCCTCCAGAAATTCATCAACATTTCCATTTATGTGTTTTTTTAAATCAATTTTTGGCTCCAGTGGCTTCTGTCCCAGGTGAGATCTTGGTTGTGTTTCTCTAGATGAGCCTGTGTTCACAGGTGTAAGAGTGGTGGTTTGTCTTATTACTTCGGTTCTCTTATGGGTCCAAGAAAAGTTACTGATTTTCAGTTTGTCCAACTTTTTCTTGTTGAAGGAGGAATGATGACTTGTAAGCTCTTTATCTAACAGAGATGAAACCAGAAGTCCTTTATTCCTTTTTGTAGCCACCATTGTCTTCCATGTTTTGGGAATGGGTCTCTAGAGAAAGAAAGGAGTCCCTTACCAGTCCTGAGATTTACTAGGGATAGAAGTTAATATGAGATCAGGACTTAGCATGATTCTCTGTGGTTGTAACTTCTGTCGCTTCACTGTCTAAATTTTGGGGGGAATCTAGTTTAGGCCTACATTTTTTTTTTTTTTTTTTTTGCTGAGGAAGATCCACCCTGAGCTAACATCTGTCGCCAATCTTCCTCTATTTTGTATGTGGGTTGCAGACAGCATGGCTGATGAGTGGTGTAGGTCCGTGCCCAGGATCCGAACCCATGAACCTGAGCCGCCAAAGCAGAGCATGCCAAACTTAACCACCATGCCACCAGGCCCGCCCCTAGGCCTACATTTTTGACTTACACACTTATGCACCTGATTGTCTAACAGATTATCTAAAAGTAAGGTTATTTAGGCTATCTAACAGTTTTCCTTCTTGACTGAGCAATGAGAGTGGAGGATTGCAAGGATTATAAAAGAAAATTGGCCATGAATAAGACCCAACAAGCAAAGAGAAGAAATGCTAAATGAAAACCTCCATTGACCTTCAATTCTAACATATTAAGTTCAGTTCTTAGCTGTTAGATATCTATTCTTAGAAGTGAGAAATTAACACTCACTCCCTTCCTCCAACCAAGATCCTTGAGACATTTCTTTTAACTGAACCACCAACAAAAACAAAGCTATGGGGGCCGGCCCTGTGGCTTGGCGGTTAGGTGTGCGCGCTCCGCTACTGGTGGCCTGGGTTCAGATCCCGGGTGCGCACGACACACCACTTGTCCATCCATGCTGAGGCGGCATCCCACATACAGCAACTAGAAGGATGTGCAACTATGACATACAACTATCTACTGGGGCTTTGGGGAGAAAAAGAAAAAAAAAAGGAGGAGAATTGGCAATAGATGTTAGCTCAGGGCCGGTCTTCCTCAGCAAAAAGAGGAGGATTGGCATGGATGTTAGCTCAGGCCTGATCTTCCTCACAAAACAAACAAACAAACAAAAAAAACAAAGGTATAATAGAGATAAATTGTACAAAAATTAAATATTTTCCCTTCGAAAAAAATGAAATATATAAAATGTGCAAAATATACTACTAAATATAGACATGTTTTTGAAAAATACTAGAAATCATATGCTTGCAGTATAAAATTGTCACTTTACAGATTTTAGAGAATCATAAAGTTTCAGAGTTATAAGAGATCTTAAAGGTCAGTTTATTTTATAAATTTAAATCATTGGTTTTATCCAAGTTTCAATAAAGGGGTTGTATGCAAAAAAAATAGGTATGTAACTGATTCTTTTTTCTCATTCTTTCATTTTATGTGGATTTGGACATGAATTTTTGGTGTGAATATGCATTTCTTCAGTTTTCAGTATCATTATAAGGCAGACAATGTGCTATTGATTTGTTCAAATAATTTTTAAATCTCTGGAAAAGTAACATTTAATCCAGTATTTGTTGATAATCAAATTAAGTAAAATAAAATGATTGATTTGTATTACACATGCTGTTAAAATTATGCATCTCCATTCCCTATTTGAATGTCTCAAACCTTTTTTTCATTATTCCTCCACAGTACCTCTCAAGATATTTTTTTCTAACTAATCATTCCATCTCCCATGGAATTTTATTACTACTACAGATATACTCTATATTTATGTACTGCAGGCTTTGGGAGGTCCAAAAACCATTGTAATACCTAAAATTTTCATTCCCTCTCCATGAACCAACTTTCATCCCCTTGGGCATGCTATTGTCCTGGTTGAGAGTACATAGCCTATTTCATTAATATAATAGTTATCATTCATCAAGCACCTAACAAAATGTGTGAGTGCAGGCTCTAGAGTCAAACTGTTTGTGTTAGTATCGTAGCTTAACTATTTAAAAGATGTGATCGTAAATGATTTATTAAATCAATATTCCTCAGTTTTCTCAATTTAAAATGAAAATAAGAGCACCTAAATTTGTTAAAGTAATGCTGACTACTGTAACAAAACCCCCAAATGTATGATGTTTCCAATACGACAGAAGTGTATTTCTCACTGCTGTGAGTTCGAAGAGGAGTGTTCTGAGTGTCAGCGCTATTCTGGGTGCTGGTTTCTTCCATCATGGGCTCCACCAACTCTAAGCCCAGACATAGCTTCCAAGGTTGCCTTGGGTGTTGATATCCAGCTGTCAGTCAAGAGAAGGTAATTGAGAATTGTCCATGGGAAGTCTTTATGGGCCAGCGTGGAAGTGGGACACTACCTCTGTCCACATTCTACTGACTGGAACTCAGTCCTATAACCACATCTACCTGCTAGGGAAGCTGGGAAATATGCTCCATCTCTGTGTTAAAGGAAAAGAGGAGAAGAATTTGATTAACAGCTAGTCAATCTTTGCTACGGCAGCTGTGTTACAGCATTGTGAGAATTACTAAGCTATTTGAAAGATACACGATGCTTAGAAGAGTCTAGTACTGTAACTAGGTTCTTTATAGGGATGTTTTGAGGATTACAGATGGGGTATAGAAAGTTAAGTTTAAATGTCATCTTATGCAGATGAGGAAATTGAGATTTATAGATTAATCTACAAATTGATAACTTGTTCAATGTCACTAAGGTAGAATTTGAGCCCAGGTTAATCAAAATTTTAAAACCTGTGTTTGTTTGCTTTTTTTCTCACTACACTGCACTTGCTCCACTCAATAATTTAATTAGTTACTTTTTTTTTCCTAAAGGGCACGCTCATTATTGTATTTTCACTGATAAATCAAAGATTCTTTAATAAAGTGACATAAATAATTAGACCACTTTATAATGTGCTTTGGAATATCATAATAAAGATAAAGATGATGGCTTCAATTCTTGACTTATTAATTGCTGTAGGTACAATTTTTAACAAGATAACAATTGCAGAAAGTGTGTTTCAGGGAGATGAATAAAAATTAGTCATTTTTAAAAAATGGAGATCTTAGTACCGAATTAAGAAAATTTCTCTGAGGATATAGAAATTAATCAAACTGAGGTAAACATATGTTTAAAAATTCTGTTGATCTTTTTAACAGATATTATTAGGAGCCCTATAAAAATAGCCAACATTTTATCAGTTTCTGGATTTATTCACTGTGTCATCAAGATGACATCTTATTATAGATTTATATCTATTCATTATTTTTCTATAGCAATTCTGTGAATTGTGACAATTTTATAGCTGGTAACTTTTTAGAAAAATTATGGTACAACAAAACTGTTAAAGAATACAAGAGAGTAGGAAGAAAAAAAAAACTATACCTGAATAGTGCTCTATTCTTGTTTGCTCTTTTACTAGTTTTCTTCATGTAATACATGTTTTCCATGTCTGCAATTATGGCAAACTTACCTCTTTATATTCTTTGTTATTTCCTAGTAGAATTCTATATTTCTATGGGGTCTTTAAAATGATCATTTTTAATGGCTTCAGAACATTCCGTTATGCTGTTGTATCATTGGTCACATTTAACCATTTCAACAATAACAACTTTTTATTTTCTTATTACTTATTCTTGTGTGCAGACTTTCTTCTCAGCATGGGTAAACATAGGTTGAGAAGTTATTTTCAATTCGTGTCAGCATGACGTTTTGGCTCAACTCGTTCTCTATTCCTCCCAAATATGGCTGCCTATCTTTATTATCTTAATTTCTGCTTCTTTCTCTTCTTAGCTTTAATTGTCAGTTGTTCGCTGAGTTTCTTGAGTGATTCTCCCCATCGTAGTTTTAAGTAAGTCTGTTCTCTTTCCAAACACTCTCCCTCAACCTTAGCATTCAAATAATGTCCTTTTTTTAATAGTGCAAGATCATCTGAATTGCACTGGTCGTGATTTCATTGCCTGTAAATTGATTACATTCCAGAATCTCTTTATTTAACATTTTGTAGAGCTATTAGAGTTAAGTATGACGTGTTATAGAACATGTAATAAATAGAACATGTAAAGATGACAACTGATATACCTGTGATAAATTTTTCACATTCCTTCAACTATAATACATATAAAGATAAAAAAATAGTTTATTTTTAGGAGGTAATTTCATAACAGTGTTAAAATAATATTCTTGGCATATGAAAAATCCGGTGTTGGGAATTATCACTATAGAGTTTTAAATATTAGAAAGTGTGGGCTATATATCAGAACCTTAGTACTTACCTCAAGGTAGAGATGCCATAAAACATTGATCTTAAAGCTTTAAAATATTCACCATTGACTTCTGGTATTAGTTTACTATTTATTATTATTATTATTATAAGTTTGACACAGCTAAAATTTTACTTTATGAAAAATATGGTAGTTATAATGCTGTTCACCAATTATTTGCAATTCTCCGTTTTCTGGGCATATGGTAGGACTATCCATTTGGGCCCCCTTGTTAGTGAGGTAGGGCTAACAGACAGGTTTTGGCCAGTGAATTTTGAACAGAAGTAGCCTGTACCACTTCTGGTCAGATTTCATTGGCAGCGCAAGATTCCCTGGAATTCATTTTCCCTCTGACACCACAGCTCCTTTTGTTGTAGAGAATGGCTGCTCTGTCAACGTTGCTCTTGATGAACTTGAGGACCATCAAGAAATGAACCTTTGTTGATTTAAACCACCGTGATCTGGGGATTGTTTGTTATTGCAACATAACCAATCATCTGCTCATTACAGGAAAGTCAGTTCTTGGTTGTGTTTGAATACATATCTTTTGTTTATCTAATTAGTCCTAGTAGCACTTTATGCTAAACGATTAATGAAGAGTTCTGATTTAAAATTATTGATTTCTTTCCTCTGTAATTTTAGTGGGAAAGGACGGTTTATTTAATTTGCCCCCCTATGACTTATTCTCCAACAAGTTAATTTATAGCTACTTATTTTATAATGTAGGTTTCATTACTTTTATACATTACAGAAGTAAACGTCTTTTCTGCATAGCAATATTTCATTTGCAGAATAAATGTTGGTTAAATAAATTAATGAATGCACTCTTATTGCTTTATTTTTTCTATTCTTTCTTTTCTATGTGCCATTTATCTTTTAGTTGAACTTTATAGATATCCACAAGTTTATCAGGAATTCTTTATAAACTAATCTATAATTGATTCCTCTGTGAGAATATCTCAGGTGTGTATTTTATAAGGGAGCATATTTTGACATATTATTCCTGGGAAAATGTGTTTTGACACTGTGTTATAGTGTGTACTCATTTGATATATCTACATATTCCTTAACACGTTAAAAATAATTGGGATTTATGTTAATATATTTGAATTTCAAATGCACTTGGAAGATCTTGCTTTTTAGGGCAAGATTACTATGAATTCTTTCAGAGAACCAAGATTTATTTTATCCTTATTAATAATTAAGATTTTATAAAATGACTTTCCCTAGAGTGAAAAATCAGCATCATATTTATCCTCAAACTAAATTTAATGTCAGCATTAAATTTATCTTCTTGTTAGATGAGAGTTGTAGCTGTAAGATAATTTATAATTATAAATTATTTCCAATAATTTCTCCTGAGTAAGAGTTAAGAGTGGTAAAATAATCAATATAACCTCTATTTTGAGGTTTAAACATTTGATTCAGGGAGTATACAATCTAAGGTAGAGGCTACATTAGTTGAATGAAGGTTCTGTAACAAAGAAGCTGTAAACAAAGATTGATATCTTATGAAATTTGAGGGCTTTGGTAGCAGAAAAGTCCTGAAAGGAACAGCAGCCCACTACCAAAAAGAGGTGAGTCAAACAAGTGCCTGTGGATAGAGCCAAGTGTCTTTTTAAGCAGTCAATTTTAAGTATTTTGGAAAAGATTGTGATATAAGCACAGGCCTTCAATATTTGCCTCCCTCTGATCATACTGACTGAAATGATACAAGGAAAATGAATAAGCGTGGGAGAGTACCCGCATCTGCATGGAGTATGTGCCACAGACTTTTACTATATACAGAAAATATAGACTATTTAATATGAAAATACCACGGGTAACTCACTAACCTCCTTAATGAGAAAGCTGTGGAAAAGTCAGCAAGCCGAAAGGAAAAGTAAGTGTTGGCTGAATACCTAAGAGTGTGGAGTAAGACGTGGGACCTGAAGGTGAGGATAGGCTGTGGGCTGAACGAGGCCCATCACCTGGAATTCGTTTCACCATCATGTATGTACAACACTGTAATCATACCCGTCAGGGATTGCTGAGGCGATAGATAACGTTTTCAAAAAAACTGAAACAGAACGTGCCGACTCTTTAAATATTCTAAAAAGTTTCTCAAAAGTATATTTTACCATGATATGAGTTTCAAAACGTTGGGGAATTTTAGGTATGAAACAGCACATACTGAGTGTTAAGCCACTCAAATATTGATTTAATACCCCATAACTTTAATTAATACAGTAATCAAAAGAAGTGAAAATATAATAAATGTTTATTAAAGAAAAAGCTTATTACTGTTTGTTAAAGATAAGGGAGGAATAAAATACAGTAAAAATCTGAACGAAATCAATATGATATAAGTGTGTATCTACAGGCACTATTTTAAACATTTTATATGTATAAGCTTATTTAATCATCACAACAATTCTATTTATTATTATTTCCATTTTAAAAATCAAAGAACATGTCTACAAGAAACCACTTTAAATATGCAGACACATATAGATTAAAAGTAAACGATGGGGGCCGGCTTGGTGGCATAGTGGTTAAGTTTGCAGGCTCTGCTCTGGCGGCCTGGGGTTTGCAGGTTTGGATTCTGGGCGCGGACCTGCACACCACTTACCAAGACATGCTGTGGCAGGAGTCCCACATAGAATGGAGGAATATGGGCACAGATGTTAGCTCAGTGCCAATCTTCCTCAGCAAAAAAAAAAAAAAAAAAGTAAATGGATGGATAAAAATATACCGTGTTAGCACTAATCTAAAGAAAGCATTAGTAGTTATATTAATTTCAGACAGAGAAGACTTCAAAGTAAGGAAAGTTATAAGGGATAAAGAAAGGGATTATCTAATGATAAAGGGCTCAATTCTCCAAGAAGATATAATTCTTAACATGCAAATGCTTAACATCAAAGCATCAAACTACATGAGGTAAAAACTGACAGAACCACAAGGAGAATTAGATGCATCCACTATCATAATTGCAGAGGTCAACACCCCTCTATTAAAAATGAGCAGATCCAGCAGGCAGAAAATCAATAAGGATATAGT